GAATTCTACACAGAATGCTATATTTTATAGCAATATGGATGAGATTGTGGCTGGCATACCCTGTCAAATGCGGCTTTATGGAGCTCAACGACTCTGAACTGCTCTAGCCCAAGCTTTGATATAAACGAACGCTATTGGCTATTTTAAAAAGGCTGTTTTCCTGTTTCAGTTAAAATGACATCAACCCATAGAGTAACGCTGCGTGTTTCTAAGCATTTCAGGGGACCTTTAAATATGAAAACGTACTTACAGACTGTGAGTCAGAACAGCCGGCATTGTAGTCTACTCTACCAGGATCAGGAAACAGTCCTCCATAAAATGCGTTGCACACATCTGAATATTTGAGGTTGAAGTGTTCTGGAACAGTGTTGTAAATACAACTTAACCACTGATTTCTAGTCGTGTCCTCTTTTGGAAGGCCAAAGAAAGTATTTTTGCTTTCGCAACGAAACACAAAGAGTCTTCACAACATGGCGACGGCCGTGGCAGCAACAATAAAGTTACGCCTTCTTTCTTTGCGTGAACATTTGAGCGGCGTTATGCAAATCTTCACACGTAATGTAAAGACGTAAAGCCCCGCTCCTGCACAGAAACTCCACATATTCATAGCAGAAGTAATACTACTGACAACGCTCCAGGAAGGTATCCAGTTATCTCTGAATAAAACGCACAACGGAGATAGAGACATTTTAACTGATGAAACTTGAGGAAAATAAACATACGATTGCACAAAATATATGGTTTATCTGCGTTCTTTAATCTTGGGTATTTTTTATAAGGAAAGTATATTTATAATGCAATGTTAATCGACATGGCCTTTATCACTGTATATAATACTATCATTCTGTAATATGAAACCACGTCTGGTCACAAAAAGAAGTATTTCAAACACTCCACTATGTTATTAAAGGGTTAGTTCAGTTAGTTAGTTAGTTTTGGTATTGTTCTGGTTTTGATTTGACATTGAGCTGTCCTTGTCACACAGACCTGGCAAAACTGATCACGATCAAAGGAACCCAGACAAAATCACAAAAGGTAAGGTGATATAAGTGATGCTATCACAGCTGTTTCCACAGAAAATCGTTATGCTCTTTCGTACGTCGTGCCAGGCACGTCGTATAACGAAATATCGGATATTCAGTAACACAATTCAACATAAATAGTTAGTTACGCTACTAACAGACAATTTGAGCGCAAAATGAAACGTAACGTTAATTCAAATTAAATCAAAACATGAAAACGAAACCACTTGAGACATCGCTCGAGGCGACTTCGTGAGACACTGGGCAGGTAACGTTACAACATTAACTTAGGTTTTATAAAAACTAATGTCACGTTGAAATTCGCTTCCTGCTGAAATGTTAACAGACAGGCGACAGACTTTAATTCCTAAAAACCACTGCGGACATGTAAAACAGACAAGCGGAAGCTATATATTAGTGATTATGGTGTTTTAATGTCAAGTTTTATGTCAAAAGTCAAGTGTGTGAAACAGACGCAACATACCAGTAAACCCTTCTGCTCCTCCTCGCGCGCTTTCTTTGACTGCTCAGCGCGAAGGCGTCAGGCCACTTCCGGCTTGTCTCCACCGATCAGCTAACTCTCAGCCAAGAGGAAGGTGGTTGGAAAATGAATGTATTTTCAAAAACGTCCTAATCCATTAATTAAATCACAAACGAGCGTCATAAAGAAGTAGTGGAAATTCAAAAAAGTGTGTGAAGCATGCGAATAAACAACTTTTTCAATTCAGCAAAGGAAGAATAGAAAAATATCATTTCAAATCACCGATCTATAAATATTCTCTATAATAGATCAGTGTTTCTAATTTATAAAAAAATTCTATCTACTTTTCGCAACTTTGCTTTTAACCATCAGGTGTACGATATAGGATAGGCTATTTATTTTTTATTCATTTGCGTATTGAAATTGTCCACGAAACCCATATATATAATACTCAAGATAACCACCAAAAGTGCCCGATAATAACTTTAAATAATTAATATTTTAATTTAATTATATATACATATATAGCCTCTGTCCGGATACATTCTAAATCATTTTGTAAAAGATTTTGTATGAGTTCTTAAAATACTCAAAATAACCACCAAAAGTGCTCAATAACAACTTTAACTTTTTACTTTTAAATGACTTTTTACAGTTTCTAGTGCATTTAGCAACACGTTTGGTCAGGTGACTCCATAAATTGAAAACTATAATAATCTAATCATCTAATCCAATATAATATATAATATAAACTGGTAAAAATGATTTGATAAAATGTGTGTATAGATTGATTTTTCATTTATTGTTTTAAGCCAATCCTTTGAAGCCATGAGCTCTTGTAAGGTGCAGTCTACAGATACTGATTTGACAAGCATTCATTCTGACTTGATACTAAGCACTACTCTGGGCTCTGGATAAAGATTTGTTCAGTATCTTTTACCCATCTCGGGTAAATGCATTAACAACTGGAAAAGGAGCCTTAGCCAACTTTAAAACGGTGAATATATTAATGAAATAACTGAATACATATATTTAATGAAAACTCATTTAGTATAATTCAGCTTTTATTATTTTACCATGTCTATCACCCTACACCAACCCTACAACTAAACCTACCCCTTACAGGAAACTTTCTGCATTTTAACTTTCTCAAAAAAACGAATTCTGTATGATTTATAAGCTTTTGTACCCATGGGGACCTCAATTTAGGTCCCCACCGTGACACGAGTCCCCATGAGTCTGTGTGTATTCAGGTGTGTATTTAAGTCCCCACCAGGATATATATACCTGTACACACACACACACACTTTGTCTTGTCTTTAAATGTGCTTGGAGTTGAAATAGAACTAAAACAGGGGTCCCAAAACACTTTTGTCTTCTCAGCATACTTTGTTTTGTTTTTTTTACCGGATCCGGGTGACTGCAGTGACCATCTGATCTGGATACAGACTGGATCTGGTGGCTACGGTGACCTCGGAATAAGAAAGAAACAGACTAATAGATGCCATTCTATTCTAGTGTAGATGCCATTCTTCTTACGATGTAACAAGTATATTGTGTGATATGGGCAGGGGCGCATTAATGCACGGGCTTCAACGGGCTGAAGCCCAGGGGCCTACACTGGGAAGGTGGCCCACTGGCTGCAAGGAAATTATATTTTTTTCGAATAATTATTTGAATATATGGGAATTTGCAGCAGTGACAACAGCATTTTGTAAACAAACTTACACACTCATTTTCAGCGATGCCCTGGTTGTAGTTTATAGTGAATGGTTCAGTTTAAGTTTCCCCCACACAGTTTGTATAGTTGGTATGTTCCATGTATTCCACCGATATACTACCAGAATACACAATGCATGCGCTAGTAAAGCCCAGCACGAGAGTGTCTTTATGTTAACGTGCAGATCAACAAGAAACACAACACTGCTGTGTGAAAGGAGCTGGACCGGACAACTTTCTGTAACGTCATACAGTGCGAGTTCAGTGACTTGCGTGGATGTAATCTGTGTGTCAGCTGAAGGTTTTAGATTCAGTCACTGTGTTCCAACATGCTGCTTCAAAGTCTCAATCTCAAACCAGGGGATGGAAGAATAGGAATCATCCTATTGTTTAAATGTGATCGTTAAACTTTGAACGGCTATGATTGAATTAATTAAGCGCGAGCACAGCACGTTTCAAAATAAAAACGCAGTTAGCAATCACCAAATAGCTCACATTTATGCCAACTTGCCAAGTGTTGTTTCGATCTACTGATGATGAATAATTAATATTTTGTGTAATTTATGGTGTTTAAATCATACCTGTAAACTTCGGCCAGGAAAGTTTTGATGGCATTTTCTTTTCATATTACCTCCATATAATGCCTGTAATAACATAATGTTTACTTTATGTA